TTTAATCTGCCTTTCTACCTCATTAATGAAATATCTCAAGGATATCAAACACTGATGTGAGTTCTATTCTATGCGATAAATATATATATAAATCGTATCGTGAGAAATCATGCGATAAAATCGAGTAAAATAAATAGTTTCAACCAAACCCCCAAGAGGGACATGAGGAAAGGGCACATATACGTGTGTATAAGTTTATAGCAATCACTATTTCTTGTGGCTGGATTCCTTTAATGTGGTGCTTATCTGCTTATCCTTTTAATGCAATCTATACACACATCCCCAGTCGTGAAGTCCAAATGAGGTAACATTTCACATTTCACTAAAACCTCAAAATACTTACTTTTGAATATGTGCCTATGGACTTTGGATAGCCACAAGAAAGCAGAATAACATCTCATTTATGTGCACTACATTTCTTACCTGTAATGGTGTTCACATAAACCGGGATTCAATAAAATTCAGCATCAAGATTAATGGAACGATTACAAACGGATCGGAATCAAGTAGAACCAAATAATAATACTATGAAGTTGATATCTTGAAAAAATATACTCATTGGACAAATCTTAAAACTGAAACCACATTATCACAACCTCCCCTATAGAAAGCTAGAGATTTCTATCACATTCAGGAACATGAGAGACACTTGTTTCAGATGCAGAATAACAACTAGTTGTCTCAGGATCAATCTATAAGTCCCAATTCCCTGTTTTATTCGTGCCTTCATTTCTTGTTCCCATGAATCCAGAACTTTATCCCAATTTCGTTTTAATGGGCTTGGATCAAAAGAAATAGGAACTTTTCAGTTTCGTTTATGGGTTGGATCGAAAGGAATCCTTGTATAACATGAGACACATGAGTAGTTGCACCAGAATCTAACCACGTAGGTATTATTAGGCACTTCAATAAGATTTGATTCAAAACATACTGAAACGTAAAATATACCTTTCTTTTCGAACTAGATCTTGCTTTTCGGACAATCCTTCTTGAAGTGACCATTCTTCTTATAGAAGTAGCACTTCAGCTCCTTACGGATTTGGCCCTCATTCAACTTCATTGGGGCTTTGTCCTTTTCTTGCCTTTCTTCTCTGATTTGTTGTTGCTGCTACTAGCTCCATTATGAACAGTGAGATTAACGGAGTGTTCCTTCATTTTCTTTAGTCTCCCTTCCTCTTGTATCAGCATGGCCTTAATTTCTTGAATGTTCCATTTTTCCTTAGGGGTGTTGTAATTCACTTGGAACTTGAACTTGACGCAAAAATCAAGAGGAAGGTGAGGATATTAATAATTAAGTTAGGAACCAAAAAAGTGGATTCACTCCACATCCCTTCCCCATTGATTTCATGTTTTTTGGAGAGCAGGGTCTACTATGCCAAATAATCTGCTGGATAGTTCCATGTTGATCATGAAAATGGAATGTGGACTAATCAAAAACTTATTAGGTCGTCGAGCATTGATATCAACGAATCATCACCGGATCCTAACGATGGCGATTTTGTACAGTAGTGCAGCATGATCATGAATGGAATTGGTGGACTATATACAGGACTTCTGAGTTGGGTGCGTACACACTCACTCATTTCAAGGATCCTACGATGGATTTGATCGCTATGTCCGATTGGAGTATGTCCTTGTGTTCAGCATGTCGATGGATTTGTCAGCTATGTCCGATTGGGAGTATTCCTTAATTTTCAGCATGTACTCTCTCGCATTGTCTGTTCTGGGCATTGATGGCTTAACATTTTCATCCATTGTCATCCTCATTAAGTTCAAGCTTAGCCTGTTAGACCACTCCCAAGCCTCATAATGAGACTTGTCAGCTTCAGTGATGGTCTCTGTAATGGCTGCTGGCTTTTTAGAGACTAATGCCAGATCCAGGTCCAGAATTCCTAATTGATAATGGATTTGTTCGGACCAATCAGAATAGTTCAATCCATTGAACTTAATCAACCCAGTGCTCGTAGCAAACATGTTAAAGGAAGCTGCAACATTACACATATACTCATACGTTAATGCTTTGAGTAAATATAAAATGGATTCAAACAAATAACAACTTTAATAGAAGCTGCAACATTATGCATATACTCATACGTTAATACTTTGAAACAAATAACAACTTTAATTATGCATCTAGATTCACCTTTGGGTAATATTTAAATGCATAGCTTTAATCAATAATGATGCCAAAAAGAAAAATACTTCAATAGACTTTCATTATGGATCAACTTGCGAGCCTTTATGCAAGTCAGAGAGAAGCACGCCCGTGCTTCACTGCAGCATGCCCCGTGCTTCTCTCTGGAAGTCAGGGCATGGATGTGCTCATTGCAGCACGCCCGTGCTTCTCTCTGGAGGTCCATAGCACGCCCTTGCTCATTGTAGCACGCTCATGCTCCTTTCTGGAATCCAATTACGTTTTTTTTTTTCCATTCAACTATTCAATAATGCTCCATACAATATGCATGTTATCTTTGGATATACATTCATATTAATTAGTACAATGATAAGTCTATTAAATTAGTACAATGATAAGTCTCTTTAATGTCATTGATTATAATTAATGGTCTACCTTTGGGTAACCTAACAAATTATAATCAACGAACTCAATTGCTCAATTGTTGAATTTTAACTTTCATTGTCAATAATGGCATCCACACAAATATGAACAATTGAAAAAACTGCATAATCATGTCTAAAACAACCAAACAATGGCCACTTTGGTGATAACAAGTTTGTCCATTCATTAAACCATTGATTTTATGCATAACTTGTATGAGATTAAATTAAGATTCTCAAAAACTTTTACGACATAACCCAAATAGATATGTTCCATAACCATTCTCTATAATATACAGCATAATAATTTATAGAGCTATAAAGAAAACAAATAGTTTTCAAAATTTCTATAATTTTTGGCTTCATATCAATAATCACATGTCCGAAATATTGTTTCCATAAATTAAGCCAAACAACTACGCTATCTATAATATATATTCTAGAACGAAGTACAGGCTCTGATACCAACATGTTTGAATAAACTTTAATATAGCCCAGATCTATTGTTATAGAATTGTTTGACAGAATATACAATAATCGACAAGCGTACCTTGATCTAACTATGAGCAGGATCTATGTTATGGGTTACCTCATGCAAAAGCGATTCAATTCTCAACCGTTAACAGCAGATCTAGGTTTTCTTACCATGAGCCTGGCATTGTTGTTGTCCCGTAAGATTTTCGTCTGTGTCAATGGGCCGGGTAGAATAATCAATAGCTACAAGGAGAGTTTCTTTTAATGAACTTGTCGCTCTCGACAACGCAAGGCTAAGCGATCACCATGGTATGTATGTGGTTTGGAGGGGAATGCCGTCACAAGAGCCTCTCTATTTTGTTTTCTTTTTTCTGTGTTCATTCCCCTAAGAGTTAGTAGTCGATGTCGTCCCTGTCGATATCTTCTTTTTACTTATTACTTTTTTATAAAGCAAATGCAAAGGGTATTAAGAAAACCCTAGAACTGACCACATTAAATCCATTAAGTTTATATCTAGCAATAACCATATATTCGTTGGGACTGCCGTTTAATTAGAACTTAGCCGCTTTAAAATCACATAATGCCTACATATATGAATTTATCTAAATAATCTTAACACAGTTGTGCGGCCTTCCGCAATCTCAGCAAAAGGTCCATGTCTCTATTCGAGCCAATAATACTATGGATCATTATGTTTTTTGAAAGAGAATAAAAGAGAGGGGCTGATGGAAGGGGAGGGAGAGAATAGGGTCTGGGGATTTTATAAATTTGTCCAGAGAATAATTTTAAGCTGTCGATTCCTTTTACTTTTATAAAGCAAAGGAAGGGTATTAAAACCCTAACTGACTCTTATCCATTAAGCCCAATAACCATTATCTTGGGACTCCTTAATTAGAACTAGCCCTTTAATCACATAAGCCACATATAGATTATTAAATAATCTAACACAGTTGTGGCCTTCCAATCTCAGCAAAAGCCTCTCCTATTCGAGCACAATCAAACCTATGGATATTATTTCTTTGAAGAGAAAAAAGAGAGGGGCTATGGAGGGGAGGGAGAGAATGGGTCTGGGGCTTTTATATTGTCCAGGAATATTTTCGTTGTTTTCTCATGACTTAATGAAAAACCCCTAATTAAATAATTATTTAAATAGTTTTGTCAAATTTCAGAGACTAAATAATTATTTTTCCCTAATTAAATTGATAAACACTTGATGAAGAAGCGGAGAAATTTTCTCTTCACGGATCAAAAAACGTACCGTTTAACTTGGCAAGTTTTTTTAGGAAACAAGTTATTAGGGGTGTCAAAATGGATCATGACACGCGAACACGATTCGTCCAACACGTGAAATAAATATATTAGGATTGAAGTTAATCGAATTCATATTATAAATAGATCACCCGTTTATCACACGAATATAAATATATCATTCACGGGTTGATACGTGGATTAGTCGAGTGCATCATTTATTTAAAGTTAAAGTGATAATTTTAGTTTCATCCATAAATACTACAACTAAAATCATATTTGAACTTTATTATTGTATTAATTTTTTTTATTTTAGTTATGAATATCGAAGAATATATGTATTCTATGTAAGAAAATTTATTAAATATGTTTGAATTAAATAGATTAAACTTTAAAAATATAAACAAGTTAAGTAGATTGTATACAAATCAACATGACCTACTTAATTTGTCTATGATATTAAGCGAATTACAGAAATCGCACGTGTCAACATTCATAGACAAATTTAACACGATTATTAAATACATCATATTGATGTTAAACCTAATCATATTGTGTTAGGCAAATCCGTATTAACTCGACACGCCAATTCATTTTCACACCGTACAAAGTTAACGTGAGAGAGAGTGAGTTTAAGGCTTATTAGGTTAGCGGCTAGTAAGCTTTGCATAAATTGTATAACCTAGAAAAACGTGAAATAAAATTACTTTAATGCCCAAAACTGTTTTCAAGTCCAACCATCTACCATTTCCATTCTAATTCTATGCAGTGTACACTGCATACGTATAGAAGATATCTTTCCAAAATTGATCTTTTTTCTGAACAATTTCCCTATTGCCTAAACTAAGTCTATTAAAAATAATAGAGCTCGAGCCAACGTCGTATTGTTAATTAACGAATGAGATCGAAGAAGTAATTCCAGAAGGCCAGACTCGATGTAAGCTAAAAGATTTTGATCAGTTACACCTATTCTAGCAAAGGCAGCTTCATTTTCTTGTATACAACATATAATTTTATCTGAACGTATACTATTGCTTCTTGGATGCTTTAGCACGCTGTCGCTTAGCCCACCTTGATCTTGAACCGTGGCTATCCAAATTGTACCCAACTGAAGTAGGAGCATGCAATGGAGGTCTTTGATCATAGCTTGATGATTCATTTCCATTTGACTTCCCCTTGAATGCAGGTAATTTGGCTATATGATAACCAGGAGCAGGCTGCCGTGCGCCATGGCTCATTAGTGATTTAAGGAAATTACTTGGGCCCTGGTTCATCGCCTCTCTTCTCCCTGGAGAGTTGTCAATTCCAGTTGCATAGACCATTGATGTCAACGAGTCTACAGATTCCAAAGGTAATGGGATTCCAGATAGCCCATCATAAGACAGAACAGAAGCAATTGCATACATTGAAGCCTCTAGAGCTGGAGGAAGTGTTTTCCTTGGATGGGTCACCTACAAAACATTAACCAGTGTCAGACTAATGTAAACCATCAGATTTGTGAAAGCACAAATGGAGTACTTACTTTGAATAAGATTGCTGCTGATAATCGTTCTCTCAAGCAATAAATCTGAGCAACATCAAGGGCTGTTGATCTGAAATAAAGCCACCGATCAACAACTGTTGTAACTGAATTATCAGGAGATGACATGATCTTCTTGTCATTGTGTCCACCCGATTTTTCATCTACTTCCATCAAATCCTCATCACTTTCATCTTCAACTGCAGTATCACTTCCATCATCATCATCATCATCATCTTCCTCATTTTCATTCTTTGAGGGAGCAACTACAATCTCTGTTGCAAGCAGTAACAATGGAAGTGGCCCAACAATAGTACAGTTCCTTATGTGCATGCCCCCATCCCCTCGAGTTATCTCATCATACACAATCAAAGGGCAGTCATCAGCTTTTTTAAATGTTAATTTATTATAATTAAGAGAATGAGGATGCAACCTGACTTTAGCACCACCAACTGCAGTTTCTATGTGGAAACGTTTCCCATTTTTGGGCGGAAGGAATCTCCCTACCATAGGATACAAACCAGCAACAAGGACAGAATGGAGTATTCCTTGGTCATGCGCATTCAGATTACAACATGAGACACCATCCTCAATGAACCCATTACGGATTAGTTCTGCCTGAAGCTGTTTACGCATACCATCCAGCATATTCATGATACCAGGAGATATAAAGTATTGAGAACAAAACTGCAGTTCTTGACCCCTTGCTTTAGCATTTTTCCAACACTCAAAGGCTGCTATAACTGCTAGTTGATCACTGTAGCCACCATACAGTGAAGCAATCTCAAATTTAGCTGCAATAGCTCTCTTCTTTTCATTTGGCAACACAGGAAGGGTAAATGGATCTCTATAGTCAGAGGCACATGCCAATGTCAAAGCTGGATCAAGGCAATTCATCAATATTGCAAAGAAAAGCATCTTGCTTGTCAATGGATGAACAGGTAGGCAGCCTAGCTTCTCTCCTAGTTCTGTCAGTTGTTCGTCTAATGATAAAGCTCCAATATCCTGAAGAACAGTAATTGCATTATGAATGGTCTCTGGAACTGGAGGGTCCAGAGTCTTCCGCAAGAAATCTTCTATCTTGTAATTGGGATCAAGTAACTTCACCTGTACATAAGAGGAAAAAGGAAACAAATTTAATATATATATATATATATATATAGTTTTAAGACAGCAAAAAATTCCACAGAAAAAATAGAAGGAAAAAGATTCCAATTCTTTCCACAGATAGATAGAGATACATGAGAGAGAAACGGAGAGATATGATCCAAATAGAGATCTTTCTCCATCCTATTAATAACAGTTCCAAGGTAATGAAATTCATGCCTGCTTCACAAAGGGAAAAAAAGAGCCAATAAAAAATTACTTGCAAACAAAGTTCCTCAATTGGCATTCTCTTAATTTCAGGAACTTGGAAATCTGGCAAAGAAGCTGCTCGGAGTTTTGAATAAAGATGATAGCATATCCCAGGCTGACAGCGGCCTGCACGTCCTTCGCGCTGCCTTGCACTTGCTTTCGACACCCAGTTAGAATGAAGAGTTGATACATTCTGATAAGGATCATAACTTTTTTCTTTCATTCGACCACTATCTATGACATAGACAACATCATCAATGGTAATTGCACTTTCCGCAATATTAGTTGAAAGAATGATTTTCCGGCAACCCTGAGGTGGGCGCTTGAAAACTTTCTTTTGCTCCATGGTTGGGACCATAGAATGGAGAGAAATTATAACAAACTTAGAAGAGTCTTTGAAAAATGGATTTGCTAGTAACCTCTCCCTAGTCTTATTTATACCATCCCATCCGGGAAGGAAAATGAGGATAGCACCATCTTTCGAATCAATGCATATTTTCCTTAACAACTGTTCTATAAGAACAACATCAATGAGTTCAGGGTTAATTTTTTCCAGATATTTATCAAGTAGTTGTTGCTGCTTGAGGGAGTCGGTCAAGGCACTTTCAACATGTCTTTTTATTACTTCAGCAGTTTCTTGCTGGTTTTCTTGTTTTGCCCAGTCCATTGCCGTTAGCCCATCCTTGTCCTGTAAATGACAATTCACACCAAAAGACAGAAGCATGCAAACATCAACCACTCTACCCTTTCCAGCAAAGACCATCAATGGAGTCAATCCAAGTAAGGAATCTAGGTAATTATAAACATTAGGGTTCGTTTCAGAAGAAACCAAATCCAATAGGGGATCAAATTCATCATTTGTCCAAGCCAAATTGATAGCTTCATCTAAAGCAGCTTTGTCTTCCTCTGTTAGCTCAGGGCTTTTATTTGGGACGCCTGGCATAGCAGAATCAATATGATTGTCATCTGGAGATTTAATGATAGAAAGTACATCCTCCAAGTAGAAAGTTTTGACCTGAACAATACAAAAGTAGATTAATTTACAAGCTGAGATAAGATAAATTGTTAGTGACCATCTTGAAAAGGATATTACAGGATAAGTGAACCCAGGAACACGAATAATTGGGCAGCCACCAAAATATTGGGAAAATCGTGCAGCATCAAGAGTAGCACTCATCAATATCTGTTGGGTAGAAGAAGAAGAATGTTAATTCAATATCAGAATCTAGCAGCTAACTATAGAAGAAACAATGCTGAAATTAGATGCAATAATTCACATCTAGAACCTAAGAACTTGAACTTACCAGCCGAAGATGAGGATGTGAAGGAAGGATGTCTCTGCAAATAAGCAATGAGCATCAGACAAAATAATCCAACAATAGAAAGGCAGTAGTATAAATAAAAACAATGGAGCAAAACAACAATAACTCCACATTAATAATAGCACCTATTAAGTACTTCGCCCATTCGGACAAATTACAATTTGCAGTTACGAGAAAAAATTGAAGTTCTCAACTAAATGGAGTTGAGAACTTAAAATCAACCATCATGTACCTGATTATTGCCAATATAAAATCAGAGTAGCGATCCCTTTCATGAATTTCATCCTGCAAACATGAGATCATTGGAAGTGGACACCATCACATATATAGACATATGAATCCAAAGTTTTGACACTATCAGAAAAATCATCCAGTTTCGTAAAGATGTTCTGGGAAATTAACCAAACATTACATAATCATTACAAGTTACTCACTTCTCCACCTCAGCAGCAAAAGTAGCAGTCTCTACTCAAATCAATCCAAATATTGGTTTTGGTTGCATAGGAAATCAATTTTTTGCTTTCCCATAACAGAACCACTTTGGAAGCAAAATAACCTCTTGAAGAATTCATTACTTAGAAACATGCATGCAAAAATAGAAACATGGGAGAGAAAGATAATGCGATGTTGAAGTAACTTTTCTATCTCTGTGATATTTTCTCAAACATATTACTGATATGGCAAGGAACAACTATGGAAATGAAGGCCCATAGCACATCTTGTCTTTATATCTTAACTAGCTATTAAAATGTTCTTTTTTAGATGAATATCAAAGATAAATCAATCAAGACGTATCAAGCTGTTATTGAATGACTTCATGCTTAAAGCATCTGACTGGGTAAATAAGCAATTTATTTACTATCATACTACATTCCAAAAACATAGTCCCATTTTCTTTTTCACACAATTAAGAAAACATAATAAATGTTATGTAAAAGTCATTTTAATGTCACTCTTCTTCTATACCCCTTATATATCTTTATATCATAATAACTGCACCTTTTAAATTGAAAAATTAATAAGGGATAAAATAGAAAAAGTAAATTCAAAAAAGGAATAGCGACAAAAATATAAAATTCACCCTTGTATTTTACATAAAAAAACCTTGTGGCACCTTAAACTTTACGAAGGACCAATTATGTCCCTAAAGTTATGAATTTTCGTAAAATTGCATGCCTCTTCATACTAGCAACAATAGTTTTTTGGATTTGATGTGTGGTTACTAAAATTTTGAGAACAATAATTTTCAAATTTTTCAACTATTAAATAAGTGTTTAATTGATTTAAATTTAAAAATTGAAGTATTTAATAGAAAAACTTTGCAACCTAAAGTGTGCAATACGTGCAATTTTATAAGTTGAATGCTTCAATAGGTCAAAGTAAAAGTTGAGAATGCCATAAAATCTTTTTGTATAAAATATAAGGGTAATTTATGCATTTGACCAAGGAATAGCATACAAGCTTTTCTTGAAAAGAGAGTATTAATTAGTTAAGGTCAGTTGTAGACTAATTAAAAGTCTACAATTTAAAGTTCTTACTCATAAATGTTAATTGAAGTATTTATTTTGGAAAAGATTGTTAGTTTGAAAAAAATGAAAATAAAAAATATTTTGAAAAACATAATTTTTTAGGATACTAGCAAAAACTCTAATTACATACAGTTGAAAGTGAATATTTTTTTTCTTTATAGAGTGAGTTGTCCTTATGTTTAGTGTCAATTTTTGAATCCCAAGTATCACAACGACCTTTTTATGTAGGGAATGGGTATAAATTAGACAAGTTATCCTTTACTTTATATGGAAAGTCAGCTGAAAATGAAGGTAAAGTTCTTGAAATTCTTTTTCAAGATGATAAAGAAAAGCTAAAAATAACTTATCAATGTCCACTCTCTTTCAAACTAACTTTCTTTTCAAAAAAAAATGTCCACTCTCTTTCAATGGCAATTGTTCCATTTCTATTGTATTAATTAATTAAGTTATTTTGTTAAAAATCTAAATAATGTTCAATTAGGTGACATGCATTCACAATAATTGGAATAATCCAATACTAGTAGCAGTGGATAAAATAAAATTTAAGATATTATAAATTCTTGCCTACATCAGTAGTAAGTTTTACCTTTCTGTAATCATATAACTAACCATTTAAAATAGTTAATACATTATTTCAAAACCAACATTTGGTAAATAAATTTGTTACTATTATAATTTATGAATTATTGAAAGAGCTGAATGTTAATTGAAAGAGAGAAATACTGTCAAATGAAAATAAAGCCAGAACATGGTACAGTTCTTGCAACAATGCAACAAAAAGCTTTATCCTAGCCACAAGAAATTCAGGTGCTAGAATACAAAATGCAACACTTATGGAAAGTGAATAAGTGTCGGGGTATATTTCTTATAATTTTTATATAATACTTATTATTTTGTTAAAACTACAAAAAAGTACTGTTATACAAAGGCACCAATTAAAACTAAATTAATTGAATTGCATAGTAATGAAACATTTATAAATAATACGATTAACATCATCAAACAATACTTAGATGTATGATTCAAAAATAAATAACTACTAACGGTCAGATGCACAACTAAAATATTAAATAACGTTAATGTCTAATACCATGCAATAACACAAACACGTGTCAATGCAAGTGGAGCATTAAGCATAAATTACTATAAACATGGTCCATTCAACTTTGTGCAACAGTTGAATGCACCGGATAAAGATGAAGATGCAACTATAATTTTACATAGGGCTGGTTCTGCAAGATTGATAAGTCCATTCTAGGTTGTCCGCCACGTGTATACACATTGACCTAGCATGCAATTGGTTTGAAATCTGTCTTAAGGTGTGCCTCCTCCCCGGTTAATCCCTTCCCTTCCCAGACATTCTCAGCCCCTCCCAACCCTCCCCCCCCCCAAAAAAAAAAAAATAAAATGGTTCCGATATGCACTTTGTGTGCACAGTTTGAATGCACGCTGGGAATAAGGAGAGATGAAGATGGCAATGCTAATAATTTTAGAATAGGGCCTGGTTCTGCATAGTTATTGATAAGTCATCTAGGGCTTGGTCCGCCAGTGTATACCACATTGCCTCTAGCAATGCAATTGGTTTTGAAATCTGTCTTAAGGTGTTGCCCTGCCTCCCCGGTTAATCCCTTCCCTTCCCAGACATTCTCAGCCAACTGCCCAACCCTCCTCCCCCCCCCAAAAAAAAAAAAAAACCCAAAAAAAAGCGCTGGTTATCTGCATCCCTTCCCATAAGAATTTCAGAAGTTCTTTTGCCTTTTAGAAAAAAAAAAAGAAAGAAAGAACCAAAGCAAGGCAAAAAGGTAAGGTAACTGGGTTCACCTTGATGCGAATTTGCAGGGGAATTCAAACTATATCTAAGCTACAATATTTAGCAACTATAGCAAAGACAAATATTTATCAAATAATGCCAGGTCAAAATGGAAATGATCTCAAGTAAGTAAAAGCATGATGATGTTAGATATCCGAAAAAAAAAAAAAAAAAAAAAAGAAAAAAAAAAAAAAAAAATATTATGGCACACAGATATATTGGTCTAGAGAGTTAATTACCACAATAATGTGAGTGATGTTAGAAACATCATCCTTGGTCATTTTATTGGAAGCTTCCTTTTTTGACCTACTAGCACCCTTGGAAACCAACACCCTCAGCAGAACCCCATTTGTGCAGAACACTATTGATGAGTTTCTTCCACCTTTACTTTCAAGCCGAATCTAGTAAAACAAAGTTTTAAGTCAGTAAAGGTATCATGGTACAATGAAATTTGAAACTTGCCAATAAATGTTCAAAAATATATAAGAAAAACTTAAGAAACAAATTTCTCTATTTTTCTGCAGTGCAACCAACTCATATGACGACAAAATTTCCAAATATAATTACCACTGACTAAGACAACTTGTCCAAGTTATGATGATGGATATTAAGGAAAAGTATCAAGAATCCAGGTGAATGAGAATACATTGAGAAACAGGAAAAAAAAAATAGATATTTGCATATTAATTGGAATCCAAGTAACATGACTACAAATATCTTTGCTACTTAATACTGAGCTCTTAAAGTCCAAGAGTTACACTCTCTCCCTGTGATTTTCCAATCCAATTATGCAGTTCAAGGTCATACTGGTCATGCAAAAAAAAAACTACAAAAATTACCTTGTACCCAACATCATCTCCAACACTTTGTCCTCTTTCACTAGAGATTCTTTCAGCAACTAGAACATAAATTGCCAGAAGCATAAGATTTTATATAGCATGAAGTCAGAGAAAGAAAGATGTAAGGAAATTAATAATTAATAGCTGGTATTTACATGCTTAACAAGCATTGCATACCTGAAGTTGCCGAGATACGACGAGGTTGTGTGCAGACTATTTTACAGGCTTCACCTTTCCCCCATATATGGTCCAATAGAAATTGTGGAACCTATATCATTTTCAATGGGTACAAAAAAAAAAAAAAAAAAAAAAAACAATATTATGGGGGTCCATAGAAATTGGGTTGGAACCTATATCATTTTCAATGAAAAAAAAAAAAAAAAAAACAAAAAACAAAAAACAAAAAACAAAAAAAAAGAAGAAATAAGGACCTCAAAATGTTGCTTGATAATTTATTTCAGAACAATGCTTTATCACACAGAGGAAAGAAACTAACAGCAACACAGCCAACCATTAGTAATTTTGTAAAGCTTCAATATGTGGGATGGAGGAGTTCTCATACCAATATTGATACGTAGAAAATATAATAACAATTAACCAGAAGTATAGGTTAGATGCTTTCATATCTAAAATTTAAATCATTCTGCTTATTACTGCAGATTTGTTTTGAAAATATCACTACAGGACAGTGCTCCTTAATCACTTAAATAAGAGTTATAAACAAAATATATTTATGGTCTTTACAACTTGAAGTTTAGGAACTTAGCTAAAAAAAATTTGAACATGAAGGAACAAATTTATAGTTATGTCTTCAAAGTATATGTAAAGTTACAAATTACTACATTATTATATATTTTCATATCTAATAATATTTGTCTCCATAAGCAAAAGAAAATACTAAAATTCCCCCATCAGTTAAATCTGAGCAAGAATGATGCACTCATGTTATTGAAAAAAGACCAGCCTCCCTCTTTTGAAACAATCTTGTGCAATTGAAATATCAAAAATTTTTAATTTTGCAACATTACAATACATTATAGATAAAATAATAATACTTTTGAAATCCTATTCTTAGGGTTCTTAGGAGTACTTATTTTAGGAAAATAATATAAATATAGAAAATAGAAATTGTAGCGATTCGTTAGTGTTTTCCTCATTAGATTAGGGATTTATTATTGTGCTTCTCTTATTCTTGTTGTCATATGTCTTGAATTCTACAAAAATTTGCTGTCTCATATACAGACTTCAAACACTATCAGCTATCAATAGTTTTCATAACACAATATACAGTAACAACATTCTAACCCTAGATGTCTCATCTACAATCCCAAGCCATTAAAACATATTTAAACCAATTTTTAGCTTGCCAAGAAGTGAAAATTGGCAGATCTTCAAATGGTCCTGCCACTAATCTCTTCAACCTGATAACTAGAGATTAAATGAGATACAATATATATGAGATACAATATATATATATATATATATATAATATATATCATCTGCACTACATGAACAAGCAGGCACTATTCTCTACATGTTGATTATATATATATATATATATATATATATATATCATCTGCACTACATGAACAAGCAGCACTATTCTCTACATGTTGATCCATCAGAATCAGAAAGACCATATCATAAGGGGAAAATAGGTCTTCATGAAAATCAGCTCCTGACAAGTTATATTAACTTATTAAGTGAACCATAATGAAAACAAAGCAAAGAATTGGTGACCTGTGTAGTCTTTCCACACCCAGTCTCACCAGAAATGAGAACAACCTGCATTGAAACACTGAATTAGAAACAAGTTTTGGGAAATGCACTGGAGTTTGAGCACAAAAACATTGAATGAGTCGGCAAAAAACAAGTGTAATAGACAAAAGCTTTTTCAACTACATAACGAAATTTTGGATGAATGCGATAAGCAATGCCAGCTCTGATCTGAGCAACAAATTTTTCAAAACCAAGTTAAGGACGACATTACCTGGTGAGACTCTATATTGGAAGTAATGACATCCCTAAAGGATGCAATTGGAAGCTTAGATCTTGCTTCAACAATCTGCACACATAATGGAATCTCAGAAATCTTTCACTGTCAGACTACTTATTTGAAAACTATAAGATCTTTCCAAGGGAATGGACAGCTAGCAATTTCCCAATAGCCACCACTGAAATGCATAAATTCAAAGCTTAAACTCTGATAGCAAGAGAACAATAATGATGCAAGAGTAGGGTGCAAACAGACCAAGCTAAGTCAAGCTCTAAGATTTTAAAACATCATTCATATAATTCTAATCAAGCTCAAGTTCAAGCCAAGCTTATATTAAGCTTTAACATTTTTGCTTCAAGCTTGTTTAATTATAAACTATCGAGCTCAATCCATTTCTATTCTCTAATAATAAATACAAAAGTTTGGATTTTACCAAGTATTTTATTTATAATATTTTGCGTAAAATTGACAAAAAAAATGGTATGTTTAGTTACATATGAGTATTGTAAATTGAATTCAATCTTTAATTCTTATTATTGTATCTCAAAATAATATAACTTTAATATGTTTCACATTTTTGTCTTGTTCAGATATTTTTTGTTTAAACTTATCCATTGACTCAATGAAGAAATTTTAATGAGCTTTTATCAAGCTTGTTCACGAGCTTTTGTGTAGTACACTGGTTCACTTGCACCCCAAAGGAGGAGTATAACAATGAAGTTATGGCACCTAACCAAGGAAATTAACAAAAATTTCTAAATCAGCATGTTTGTAGAACCTGTCTCAACTTTGCAGCCTTTTCTATTCTAGAATTTAGTGATTCCACCTTCTTCACTATATCCTCTTTGGTCATTGAAGGCATACTAAAGATATCATCTTTCTTTCCCTGTATTTTACTATCCTTTCCATTATAATTTCCAAATACTTTTGCACCAAGCTCTCCATCCTCAGGTGGGTAGTTCATGAATAATTCTTGCAAGAGAATTTTTGATTCTTCTGAAAATGTCACATACGTGAGACTTTCCTTTGCATTCGCGGGGTCAAACTTCCTAGTAGTCTTGTAAACAGATACGCGTCGTTGATCCCCACGCCTGCATAGAAGTTCACAATCATAAAGAGAGTCCTCAGAAGATGAGTTTATATTGCAGAAAAACCAAATCCACACATCCTATTGTAGTTAAAACTTCTACATTAACTATTCAAACTATTAAATTTCCTCATTATAAAACAGAGGATCAACACTTCAATCAGCACTCACCCATAACTCTTGGATTTCATACCCATTTTCCTGCATACTTGATGCACCAAAGCACGTTCACGATTGGACAAGTTAGCTTCAAATGTATAAACTGCATCCAGTATCCAAACATCCATATAATGATTAAAAAAATATAAGAATATACAGGTAAAGAAATAATACAATAACATTGACAACAAGTAGCGTAGCAGCAGAGAAGCTGCATGAGTCATTAGAAGTCAATAACATTATTCTATAATTTCCCATCCAATGGGTATTCTCTGGTCAATTAGCTACCTTAAATATTACTACAGAACATCAACTAATATCAAGAAACTAATACATCCTTCAATCACCTAGAAGGCTAACAGAATATTTGACAATAAGTATAAATTTTAATTAGCCAGCAGTTGGTTGTTGTCCTGTCATAGTTATCCAAAAAGAAAAAATAAACCAGAACTGAGCCAATCCCACTTGATTTACATAATTTCTTTTTTTTTTTTCTTTGGTTCAACAGCAAATGCGGACTCAGCTATAATACATGCTAAAAACTTCGATAAAGCAAAATGAACCCATGTCAAGTCACTATGCTATAAAAATGAAAATAACAAATTAATCAAAGAGAATTAACCAAATCAATTGAAAAGTTGTTATACCTTGCTCTTTAGTAGCCCGGAAATGATCAAGTATTTGGGAAATTCGAATACGAGTAGCTTCAGCCACATTAGGGTTTTGTTGTTGTTCTGCTTTCTTCTGTCTCTTCTTTCCCATGTTTCTTGAACTGATACGTTTTTGGATTCCTTTTTCGTTGCCGTAGAAACAAGGTATTGCAATTGCGATGCTTTTATAAAAATATAAAAGAAACGGCAGCAGCAGAGGATACTCCGGAGATTCCTTGCAAGGGGTGGCGCCACAACCAATTTCATGAGGTCATTTTTCCCTAAAAAGAGCCTAAATCATCATAAATTAACAAAATAATAATTATAATTGGAATACATCAATTCGCTTATAAATTTTATTTTTACCTAATATCGCAATTGGCAAGCGGCTATATTTAAAAACTGTTTAAATAATTATTTTTATTTAATTATATTAAAAACTAGTTAGAAACATCCCTTTACACAAGGGTATTTAAATATTACTTTAATACTCTCTTCGTCCTATCTTTTTACATAGTTAGACAAAATACGCATATTAATAATTTAGTCAAAAAAATTATTTTTTTCATTTTTTATCCTTAACTCATTTAGATATTAATAAAAATAATTTTATTTAATGAACAATTTTGGAAAAAATAATTGTTTAAATATATAAATTTAAAAACCTTGCAAACATTTTAGGATATTCAAAAAATGAACAACAAGCAAACAAAATGGAACAGAGGGAGAGTATATTACAGTTGCTTATATTATTATTTTTTATAAATTATGATTCTCAATTATCTTTTATCATATCACTCTCTCTCTCTCTCTCTATTTGCATATATAACAAACAACATGAAAAATGTTTAAAAGATAAGGCAAATCAACATATAGAACTTTTAAATGTCAAATTAGGAAGAGGGTGGATAGATCTCCAGTAAGAACTTTTAAATGTCAAATAGCTAGGCAATTATGAATTTTAAAAAAATTTATATCTATTTATTAAAATTTATTCTTTCATTGATTTATATATTTTTTTAATTGGTAATTTATTTTTTAAAAATTAATAAATATATAAAATTATTAAATAACTAAATGTTATATGTGAACTTTGAAACGTCCTTGCATACCCGGCTAAATGTTAGACATGCATTACTTATTAAATTGTTATTTTGTGTTGCATTATTTGTTGCTATCAGAAATTAAATTTTTTAGCTATTTTCTAATTAATTAATAACAAAATTATTTTTTATTAATGAAATAATTTTTAAAATTATATTTAATATTTTTATGTTATTTTGAACTTTTTATTTTTTTTTAGCAAAAAAAGTTTGAACCAATTTGAGTAAGAGGAGTTGCATGTTACACACAAAATCAAATATTGCAAATTTTTAGTTTCTTTTAAATACATTGTTAATATCATGAGTAAAAATAGTCTAAAAAAAAGAGACGTTTTATATGTTTAATTTTTGAATGAAAAAATACATGTTAATTATTAATATTATTATTGAAAATAAAGAATAATATTATTTAATAATATTGTTTAAACAATGTATTTATACTAGCGCATGAAGCGCGGAACTACGACTAATTTAATATATACCTTATAATTTCTTATTATTTTATCCAATAGAATTATATTAAACTTCCTAATATAATTTAAATTCAAATAAAAAAATAACATAACTAATGAAAATTAAACTTATTATTATATTCAAATTTTAATATATTAAATTATACATGTATAAGACTCCATCGTGTGAATATTATATAATTTTAATCAATCAATAATTATTATATATTGATTTTTTATAGTAAACGTCCCATAAACATAAAGAAAAATATTTATATTTCATTTGTACGAATACAAATAGTAAACAAAATATATCATGAGAAATTGATTTTATTAGTTAATTGGCTCATGAGAAAATAATTTCCACAATAATCTCTACTTCTCTAACCTTTGATAAATAATTATTCATGGGTACTAAATAATTATAGAAAATTTATGGGAAAAACAAATTTTATAATTTGTTATATTTGTTTCCAAGAATTTGTTATATACTCTCTTAGATAAATAATTATAAAAACCATGGAAAAGCAAATATGAAAAAGCTAAACACTTAAAAAGCTCCCAAACAGTAAACGAATCTATAGATTTAATTTGTAAAGCTAAACACAAACAAGAAGGATGAAAAGATTACTAAACTATCAGAAATATAAATAAAAACTATTCTATTAATTTATAAATAGAGAGAGTTAAGATTTGTATGCACTGTAAAATAATTACCGCTGGCTAACAGCTTGAGCGTGCTAGGTATTGAAGTTTACCAACTACAGGATAAATTGTGTCTCCTGAACTTCTTAATCAAAAGATTGGAGGGTTTTGACTCCACGGTAACGCTTCACCAACTGCTGGAAATTAATTTGACTGAGTTTGAAATCAGAAATTCTAAAAGAACTACATAGAAAATAGAAATTGCTTTGAAAATTGAAATACTGTATTGATAAAGACTAGACTTACGAAAGACAATTTGAGAATACTTGGAAAGGAAATTATAATGAATATAAATGAAATTGAAATTGCTATTTGCTTGAGAAATTATAGTTGAATTTGATCTTTGAATTTGATTTTTTAGAGTTGATTGTTGGGGGCCTGATTCTGCACTTAAAGCTTGGCTTTTATAGGCACCAGACAGTTATCTCTTTTACGTGCACGACATCTCAACGTATCCGGGTAACTGCTTAAGTAACTTTCTTTCATCATGCAATGTGGGAGCAGTTTTATTCATCCAGCTAACCACATTGTACTTGCTCTAAATTAATTAATTATGGACTTCAATATTTAAAGGTCTAATCAATTAATTTTAAGCCTAGATAAATTATAAACCTACAAGTCAAGCCCATAATATATAAAAATTACATATGGTGTAAACAATTGCTCCCTTACATGAGATTGGTCTGATAGACCAATTTTCATGTGTTAAAGCCCAACCCAATTTCTAATCTCTAACTCAATCCTAGATCATGCTATCGTTTTCCCATATTCATTCCTAACCCTTTACTCTATTTAAGCTTTATTTACTCAAAAACTCAGTTCTCTTACTGTCCTTTCGTTTGAGCAGCGCAAATTGATCTTTCTATTTACCTTCTACTGCTCATCAACACAAAGGTAGAGCTGCTCCTTATTTTAATTTCTTTGCTGCGTTTTCTTTAATCAATAAACTCTACATCTGACAACTTTTCTTTGATTTGTCTTTTTCTTTTTTTATTATATATTTTCATATCACATCACATTACTTTCCTTCTTTCGTTCTCTCTATGGGCTTCTTCTTTTCTTTCCTTTTTTTTTTTATTATCAACAATATCGCATCACACAGTTATATATATTCACAAGCACATTACTTTCCTCTTTCGTTCTCTCTTTGGGCTTCTCTTTTCTTTCCTTTTTTTTTTTTTATTATGGTCAACAATATCGCATCACACAGTTATATTATATATATATATATATATACTATATCATATATTATACTCTAGCAATTACCCCGTGTTTATGGCACTGTTAAAAAAAAAACAAAAGTAAAATTGAGAGAAGTATTACATTAATTTATTAGATTCTTGAATGAAAGTTCTTTTATTATACTATTAAAAAATATTATAAAGATATATCAACAGTAAAAAAAATATAGTGTGATTTATACTATTAAAGTAAAAATTAGTAGATAGGCATTGTTCTAGAATTATGGATTAAAAATATTAAAATTTATAGAGATAAATAAAAAAAGAAAATGAGAGGTGGTTAAAATTCATTAATTTGATTTATTTAAAATTTATGTAAAATTAAAATAATAAAACTTGTTATTTCATTAAATCCAAAATAAATAATTTATTTTAAATAACAAAAAATAGTATAATATTCTTCAACTTATCATATTTTAATACTATAATTAAATCAATTATATTTAATATATGTAATTTAATATAAAAATTATAAATTTTTAATATAAAATAAAATAAACTGGCTTATATTTTCATTAAAAATTAAATTATGTATTTATTTATATCATTAAAAGTTATATAAGACTTAACACGCTATCTAATTCTCTAACGTTATATTAATCAATTACATTTAAGACGGTTGTAATTCAATTATTCAATTACATTTAAGACGGTTTAATTCAATTATAAATTAATTTATTTTCAAATAAATATAAAAACAAAAAATTAAGTCTTACACATATAATTTTTTGGAATCCTATATGGCAACACTAAGGAAAATTCTGTCTGCTTTATATATATATATATATATATGGATTTGATAGTTCACAGCTATAAAAACATGTTAAATAATCTCTAAAAAAGAGACAAAAAAAGTTTGAGTAAAAACTACTAACCCCATTAGTGGAAATTGTTGAAATGTAGAAAATTCTGAACTTACAAAGAAAAAAGAATAATATATTTAAAAGTAGGAAACAATACACCTTTGCGAAGAATACAATTATTACAACTTACAAATAGTATTTTTGAAAAAGCCATAGTGTTTCTTGAGGGTAAACAATTTAAAATTTAAAAAAAGTGCATTACTACACCATATATTTAAAAAAAAAAAAAGCAAAACGTTTAGATAGGAAACGTTAAATGTACATTAACTATTGTTAGAGGAAACATTTGTTACTTCACAAATTTGGGAGTATACATTTGTTACAAAGCAATATATTAACACATTAATTGAATAATTCATTGTTATTACACTTTATCCTTTTTTTAAAAACTAATAATTAATAATAATTACTTAAAGCCGTTAATACATTAAATAACCAAATCAAACCAAACCAAATCAAAAACACCAATTCAAAATAAATCAAACCAAACTAATATATTTTTACATTAAATAATCAAATAAAAAACACTAACTCAAAATAAATCCAAACTAAACCAATACATCAATACATTGAATAATCAGATCAAATCAAATCAAACCAAAAACACTAATTCAAAATAAATCCAAATCAAACCATGCCAATACATTAATACATTAAATTATCAAATCATACTATGCCAAATGGAAGCTTAATGAGAGGGAATATGCCACATGTCAAATTAAAATGCCAAGTGGATATGCCATATGTCAACCTTCTAGGGAAAAAATTATTGCTTTATATATATATATATTATAATATATATATATATATATATATATATTGATTGGTATAATATAACATATACACATATACATAGATGTCACATCTTCTCTTCTTTCTCTTTTTTCTTTTTTTAAAATATAAATTTGCTTATATATTATATATTGACAATGCTTTTACGGGTGC